TCTGTGCGCACGCCCCCTTCGCCTTCCGCATCCCCCCGCCGGTCCCAGCCCCTCCTCTGCTGCTGTCCTCGAGAGCTGCTCCCCAAGGAGGGCAGCAGGAGCTGCAGTGGGGCATGGGGCAAACTGCCCTCCCCTCCCTGCTCAGCCGAGCCCCGAGACATGGGGACAGTTGGAGGGTTTTGCCCTTTTAAGGGGAGAACTTGGCTGGAACACGCTGCTGTTTTAATCCCCGTGGTCCTCGCCCTCCCTGTCGTCGCTGCTTCAGCTGGCAGCGCTGCCCATCGCCCCAAGAGCTGTGGTGCCCTGAAGATGCCTCTGGCTGCTGCTCTGGGCCCGAGAGGGCTGGGAAGGAGATTTGCCCCTGGGGCTCTCCCTGCCCAAACTATGGAGCGGGTGTCAACAAAAACACACAGAAAATCCAGCTAGGAAGTTGTCCCCAGGCGGCTGTGTGTCTGCGTTGGTGCCCTGCTGCTGAAGGGCCCCTTTCCGCTTCCAAGCAGCCCCTCTCCGTGACATGGGGACAGGGAGCAGTGCCCGGCTCCCGCTGTGGCCCTGAGCGCTGCCCTGCTCCACTCGCAATAATTACCAGGCTTCTTAACAAGTGCAAAACCCCAACCTTTCCTGGAACGCCCTGCGGCGCTTGCAGGGGCCGGGACGTGGAGGCTCCGCTGCATTTGGCTGGGAGCTTCCTGGGTTGTGTCTGCTGCGGACACGTTCCCGGGGGGAATGGGCTGTCCTGACCATGCTACCTGTGACCAGTGTCATCGCTCTGCGGTGGGGACAGCGTGGCAGGAAGCTCCTCCTGGGCTGGATGTGGTGTGTCTCCTCCAGGAGCTTTGTTGCAGGAGCTGGGGTCGCAGCCGCGTGGCACTTGAGCAGGATGTCCCTTGTCAGTGCCCAGGGCCATTCCTAGGCACAGGGGACAGGCAGAGGGAGCAGCAGCAAACAGCAGGGAGGCCCTTGTGTCCCGCGACCCTGATACCCGTGGGTGGGAGGCTGGCGCCAGCGCACGGTCTGCGAGAGCCACAGTAGCAGCACTGGGAGCTCAGGGTGATAACTAGGGAGCAGGACAAGTGTTCGGTGGCTCTTGGAGACAACTGAGAGCTGTCCTGGGAGAGGGCGAAAGTACTGAGGCAAAAAGACAGGAATAGGCTCCCTCTGAGGCAGGGAGCGTGTCTCAC